AAGGTTTTAATGTTTACTGGCTGTAATTTGTCATTTGTTTTATTCATGCTTTTTGTCTTAAAAACCCTCATCTTCTCAGTACTGCAAGAATTTTGTCTTGTGTTTTGTTTTAGAAATTCTTAAATTTTAGCTTTTATGTTTAGGTCTATGGTTTATTTGGCACTGAACTTTGGGTATGTTGTATGACATAAGGGTTGAAATTGTCTTTTTCCCATATCATATTCCACCAAAATTTGTGGAAGACAGTATTCTTTCCTTACTAAGTTACTTGGCAAAAATCAGTTGGCTATATTTGTATGAGTCTATTTCTGTGTTCTATTCTTCTCCATTAATCTATAAGTCTAGTTTTATATGAATTCTACACTCTCTGGTTACCTACAGCTACAGAGGTATAATCTTAGTGGAAATTTCTAATTTTGTTCTTCTTCAACACTGCTTTGACACTTTTAGTCTTCTTTGCTTTCTCATATAGATTTTAGGGTTGTCTTGTATATTTTCACAAAATATTGTAGGACTCGGAATTATAGATTCATTATTCTCAACTGAGGATAACTGACATGGTAGCGATTTTGAGCTTTAAATCCTTAATTATGGTGTGCCTCTTTATTTAGATTTTTAACATTTCTCCATTTTATATATTTTTCAGCTCTCCAAGTTTGATTTGTTCTAATTTATATCTTGGATTCCTCATCATTATGTACATTTTTCTTTGAAATTTTTCACCCTTATAAAAGCTCTTTAAAACATACTTACCAGTTTCATTTTCTCTGTCATTTTGTGGTCAGTTTCCTTTTATTGGTTTTTCTCATGTTTACATCACAGTTTTCTACTTCTTGTCACATATAGTACTTTTTGTTGGAATCTGGGTTCCACCAATATTATGTTGTTGAGAATCAGAATTTTATGTTTTTCTCTGAAAGATTGATTTATTTTTGGCAGACAATTAAGTTACTCTAACTCCAGACTGATCCTCTTGAAACTCATTTATAAATTTTACTGGAGTGGACCTAAATTAGCCTTTGCCATCAGCAAGCTTCAATATAGAACTTGTGTATCTTTGTTATTATACTGTGACCTCCCTATAACCTCTACACAATGCTCATGGTATTCAACAAATATCTTGTTATACCAATGTGAAACCCAAACATCTCCAGCCTGGTGTGAGTTTTGGAAATTATCCAGTATTGTAATACTTTGCCTCATAATTTCAGTCTCATATATGCATATCGTAGTATTTGTGGAAATGCTTACTTATAGTCCTGGGGCTTCTTTATTGTATGGCAACTTTTTCTTTGCTTGGTGTTGAATCTGTCCAGGTATCAGCATCTTTAAACTCCATCTCTGTCTTCCTAAGCTTCAACTTGTTCCCTGCATCATGGTCTGGAAAAGGTGTGAGGTACAAATCTGAGACGATCAATATCTCACCTTATTACTCTTAGCTGAGACATCACAGTCTTGTACTGCCCATGTCCAGTATCTACACTCAACTCTTTCATAATTCTGTATATTTTTCTACTCTTTAATGGTAAAATGTTATTCTTCCATATCCAGAGACTGGCATCTGTTTTTGAAGCAGAGTTTGCTTTTATCCTCTTCTTGAATTTGCAGGGCCAAAAATAATTTTTCTCTTCTTGAAAAACTAAATTTTGTCATGTCCTGTTTTTATATTAAGCTGGAATTTAGCTTCCTATTACGTTCTCACAGATTATGGGTATATCTTAATTCTGTATAATTTAGTTACATTGTCTAGATCAACTTTTTTTTTCAATGACATGTGTTTAAAATTTGAAGATAGGAATTTATTTTTTTCCCCAGAAATGGTTTTGTTAGTTTTGTATAATCTTAGGAACTTTTTGGATATTGTCAGATTAGCAATTTTTTTCTAAAACACATTGTCCGAGAATAAAAGCAACATTCCAGAGCTGCTTGGATGAAATCATGCTTATGGATTTCAACTGTATAGAATCGATCTTACATTATGAAATGTCACAAATTTTCTTTTAATGTACATTAACATACCGTATTGTAGCATCATAGATTCTATAGCTCCAACAATATGTCACTTTTAACCTCTGTCTAATTTTGGACAAGGTTTCATAGAATCACAGAATCAAGGCTTTAAAAAAAAGCCTGTGGTATCACCTGATGCAGCCATGTTATTTCTTCTATTTAAAATTCTGTATTGTCTCCTTGTCAATTTCAGCAAGGCTAAAGCCACACAGGTGCAAATACAATCTCCTGTGCTTTTCTCTCTTCATGCCTCATTTCTGGATTTATGATGTTTTTGTTCAAATAATTTGTTGTGCATTTAATAAAGAAATTTTCAGAGACTTTAATAATGATTTTCTCTTTACCTAGACTTTCTTTTCTAACATGGATTTAAAGCTAGACATTACATATTCTTAAGAATCTTCACAAATACTGGTTCAGCAATCAATAATTTAGACTTACATATATATTGGTTACTTTATATATATTAATGGATAGGTTCATGGATAGCATTATGGATAGGTTAGATATTCTCTGTAGCCACAATCTTTTGAATAACTATCATTTCATTTAACATATTTTATCATAATTTTCAAAGTACTTTTTCATCTAAATACTGATCAGTATAATTTGTTTTTTTATCACTAGTATGTAGTAAAACATTTGGAAGATATTATAAGTGAAATAAAGGCTTTTTGAGAAGAAAATGAGTTTTACAAATGAGGTAATTGAACTCCAGAAAAATTAATTGACTTGTCTAATGATAGCAGAACTAATTTTTGATAAATATAACAGAACTGAAATTCTGCATGTTTTTGAAACACCTTGGCTTAAAATTTGAGTATTTAGTTTTTGCATGATAAACAGAGAAATTCATGCATTTACTTGGGGAGGTCTTAAGCTTTTCTATAAATCAATGATAGGCAAATGTTTATGAATTTTGTAGGGAATGCAGTCTCTGGGAGGTAGGAGAGGCAGAATAGTGGAAAGAGGTAGGAATTAAAGAAAGCAAATGTGAGGGTGTATATACTGTATTAGCTATCGCTTAATACCCAACAATGATTGTATAATTTGGCAGGATTACTGCTGGAGAGGCTATATGATGCACTGAATTCATAGTCCTTTTGGGGAGAGAAAGGAAGATAATTTATCTATTAGGTTTGGCTCCAACTAGTATAAGATTTGTTCCAGGGGATGACTTCTCTATGTTTCTAGATTGACTGTGTATGACTGCCAGCAGGGTCCCAGAATGTCTCAAATATCAAGGATTGATTTTAACTTGCATCAATTGTACCATCTCTACCTGAAAAATACTATAGCTCCTACTTGCTTTATGAGATTTGGTGGCCATGGAAGTATTTTAAGAGGAATGTGCTAAAGTTTGATGTAGATATTTAAAAGACTACTTTATTATAAGAAGCTTTGGTAATCATTCTCCTTCATTATTTGCTAAAGCTGTAGACTGTTCTTATGTTCTTAATTTTGACAATTATCATTTACCAATTTCTGCTATTCAAGAAAATAGCATATTAATGTTTTATGGTAGATTTTTGCATGGCCAGGAAAAACAATAACACATTAAAACAATGATTAATGAAGGCTTTTTGGTATTTTATGACTCTCTAGAGATAAGCAGGGTTAAAAATTTGATATATATTATTCTAGATATCTATGTGACATACGTGCACACATATGCCTTGGAAAATTTTCCTATATGTACTGCTCTGTAACTCGATTATTTAAGTAGCTTGGTTTCTCTCTCCCTATAGGGATCAGGGAAAGGGGACATTACTAGAACCTCTGTACTAAGCCCTACTCTCCTGTGAGCCACAGCAGCCCAAGGCAAATTAATTAATTAGACAGAAAAGATAGAAAAATGAGACTTAGAGAAGAAGCTGAGCTTTCGGCCTGATCAATGCTGCTCTGGTCAGCAAAGAAAAAAGGCCCCAAGTTTGACACAGCTTTATTCATTACATCAAGAGTAACAGATGAAGCAGATGACTCAGAGGGCAGCAGTGGTGAAAATCCTAGAACAATGAGGAACTATGCAGATGAAGATTTTATT